AGGAGGCGGCCGACGACGCAAGGGAGGTGTAGAAAGATGGGATGGAAGAGGAACAGGAGGAGAGAGGAGTACAGTGGGATGGGCTGGCCTGAGTGAATGGCTTGCCCTCAGGTGTTGAAAGAGTCAAGCTGTCTGCGCAGTGGTCATCGACTTCAGTGGAGCCGGCGGATGGTGCGATCGATGGATCGGGATCACTGAAGCCGGAGCAGACCTTGGAGAAGACGGGAGCAGGCGAACAGTGACGCTGTGGAAGGACGGCTGAAAGTAGAGCAGCACGAGACAGAGACGACGGTGCGCCTGGTGACTGACAATCGTCTTTCATAGCCTCATCTGAGGTTGTGGTACAGCGGACCCTGTGATCCTCGGCGCACGGGGGAGCGTTTTGAACCGCCTTATTGGTGTTTGAAACGGAAATTAGCTGGAAGGTTGCATCTTGTACTGCCGATGGTCCATTCGCCGACTTCAGAACCGTTGCTTCCGCCGTCTCCTGCCCAGTTTCTGGGCATAGAGTGGGCAAAGAGAGGCATCGGGTGAGGAGGAGCATATTACGTTGAAGAGGCCGACCTGCATAACGTCTGGCCCTCCGTCCGACGACTAGAGGTGTCTGGCAGTCGATGAGGTAGCAGGTCTCTACTTCTGCCTCGGTCTTCATGGAACCAGCCTTCCTTGCCTCCTCAGCGCTCAGCAATGACGAGTCTACTTGAATGTCGCCCGGACCGTCGATAAGGCGTGTACACAAGCAGTGCATCGAGTCCGTCCGACAGAACACAAAGTCGGTACCAGCCCGATCTGTGGTTATGCCGACCGCCTTATTTGAATCTCCGTCTCGCCGGAATCTGGAGGCCGTATTTGTAGGTTGGAGGTTTCCTTTTGCACATCTCACGAATGAGTCCTCAGGACTAAGGTTGGAGGAACCGGAAGTGGTGACTCCCGGTGATTGTGCTTGAGGAAGGCGTTTGGCGCAATGAATGCCCGAGTTGATGGTACGCTTGGAACTAGCCTCTAACAAGCCCTCGGCCGGTCCAGTACGGTTGGCGCCTGCTGGGAAACTGCCGCTGCTAACACCATTTCCGCTGTCATCGGTGGTACCAGAGGGGCAGCCGCTTCTTTCGCTTCTTGGTCCGAGTCCCACCCACTCAGGACCCCCTCCAACACCTCCGCCACTTCTGCCTCGACCGTCAAACTTTCGTCCTAACCGGAGTTGAGGCGTATCTGGAACCACAGGTGTCATCAGACCTGGCGTGGCAAAAAGCACGTCATTTGTCATCTTGTACTCATATTCAAGCTGAAAGACAATAAAAATATAGGAGAAAAATAATTCGTTGTATGTTGCTAAGAATGGCGAGACTCACTGATGATGCCGAATATGATGCCGGCGAAACGTTTGGCAACGTATCACGTCCAGGGTCCAACTTTGGAAAGTATTATGCATACAATGGACTCCGGACTAAGTGCGTTCCTCTAAGTCTTCCTACCAATATGACCAAGTTACGAAAACAAGGTCAAACAACCTCTATACAATGAAAGGAGACTGCGACCACACAAAAGACCACACCATCTTGGTCTTCATACTTTCGAAAAAATAATTCAATTTTTAATTTTACATCCAATTAAAAAAACCTCTTAGTAGTCTTCCAATTACTCAAACTTCAAGGCCCCACTTTTTTTTTAGATGGATGTCTTTGCCAGAAGATTGGGCTATTTAAGAAGTCTTAAGAGCTAATTAGAAGGAAAAGTTGATTGAAAGGAATTCATAATGTGGCCTCATCGGAAACTGAAAGAGTATTGCCGCGTAGGGAAGACTTTTGTATTGGGCGAACGTAACATACACACAGTAGGCAATGGCCCAAACCCAAACATGAATAAACATTAGAGGATAGTACGCTAGTTTATTTGTAAAAGAAAACAGCTGCCACCGAACGCACTTCATCTTCATGAAGTAACTTCTTTCATCTGCAAGCAAGTACAGTAGCCAAAGCATGAAATTCCTCATGCTTCGCAAGGCTAGGTGTATAAAAAAGCGAATAGGGTTGCCGCCAGCGAACTTTTTTCTTGCTTTAGTATACGTTTGATCTATTTACTATAGTATGGATTATTGTTCTGATGATATTTATCAATGTACAGACGAAAGCTTATCGCAGGTTCATCGGGTAGCAAGTCTAAGCCAATGGCTTCTTTGCACAATACAATAGTCCTCCCAACGCGGCAATTTCCCTTCGATTTCCGGCGATACCACCTCAGCTATTCCTTCCAACCAACTTTTTCTTCAAAATGGAAAGTCATATTACAATACATCACCAAGGAATTCTTCAAAACTTAGTTTTTATTCATAATTTAATAACCATGAAAAACAAGCAGCTCGAAGATATTGGAGTTGGAACTTACTTCGGACATAGATCTTCTCACTGCAGCTACACTTAATTTGAATGGACATTTCATTTTAAATGGACATTTCATTTTGAATGGAAAATTGGCTTGAAACGATTAATGAACAGGGTGTCTGGAGTTGGAGTTAATTATAACGGGGACTTTCGGATTGTGTAAAATAGTCCTCAGATCATCGTCTTTTGAGATTTTCTTTGGCTCGCCGTGGCAGATGAAGGCTATTTTGCCCAGCCCAAGAGTTCCCGCTCCTCTGAAGCAGATAAGACCAACTTACAATGGAAAATGACTTAAACTAACTTAGTTAACTGAAGATATGAAGACCAAGATGTTGTGGCCTCTGGTATGATCGAGGTACCTGGATGATAACTTCGCACTTTGGTCACATAGAAGAGAGAAACTGGAGGAGTTTCTGAAGTTTGTAAACTAGATTGATGAAAAAATTCAATACAAAGAAGCATACGGGTCGTGAAAAGCCGATGGCAGAACGGGGACTATAAAAGAACAGTAAGGACGATGAAGGATTTAAAAAAAATGAATATGCCTACCTCCCTGCGAACTAACTCAAAAACTACGGGAAATATTCAGTAAATGCAATATTCAGGTGGCCACGAAAAATAAATCAACGCTTTTCACAAGTCTACTGACGCATGAAAGGGATTATTTAGGAGTTTACTGTATATCATGCGGCGCCTGCGAACAGAAATATATTGGCGAAACGGGGAGAAAAATTAGCACACGAATCAAGGAACATCAGAGGCTCTGCAGG